TCTCTGGTACCACGAGGGGTACACATACCCCTGGTTGGGAATCACTGATTTAGAGTGTGGCTGTAATAAATGTAATTTCTGATTATTGCATGTCAGGGTGGTGTGTCACACATCTCACCTGTTATATGTTCAGTGGATCATACACTAACATGCACTTTCTTTACTGGCTTGTCTTTTACCACCTGCTGCCTCTCACCTGCAGTCACTGTGCAACAGTCCATCACTGGACCATTAAACTCACTGCTGCTGCATCTCATGCCAAAAGCAGGAAAAAGCCTCAGACAGCCAGTCCTCCTCACCMTCAGAGCAGCTCAAGGACACACAAATAAAACTCACTACACATGAAATGCACTACACAAGCTGCCAAACGGACACCTTCAACCAATCTCTGAATTTGAAATCATAATAACAGGCACACTTCGAGTTGTTTTCTGCTGTCCCTTCTTGATTCATTTGTAGAGTCTGACTCTGTTCCTGACAAAAACCACAGCAGAAAATCGTTGCTGGTTGCCCACAGGACACTGGTTTGACTGCAGCACACCACTGGGGTCCTGACTCAAACTGAACCAGGTGTCCAACACTGAAAACAACTTTTACTACCAGTGCAGAGTGGGAAGACAAAGAGAATTAGCATTCATGCACCGTGCGTCCGACCCACTTTAATGCTTACTGTGCAAATCTGGTCTGTGTCCAGGTAGAAATTTATTTAAAAAGGTGCTTGTTTTGATTGTTTACATGCAAATAAATTGTTTTTTTACTATTAAAAACATKCATTAGGAGTAATTTGTTTTGTTGTTTTTATGCAGCTTTGCAGACTAGTTTACATGTAAACCTTACTTATCACTTTATCTTCTACATTTAAATAAACTGAACGTGTCCAATAATAAACTAAAACAAAGCATTTGCATCAAAGAAACTTACAGGCAAACTGCTCCCAGCTTGTGATCATTTACTGGACTGAAAAGAATAAAAATAGACTTGGTAGATACTTAATAGTGAAAGTGGACTCAAGATGTCCTTCTGCTCTCTGCAATAAATACGGGGCTGAAACATTTCAGATATGTTTTTATAGCAGGTCCCAAAGGCCGACTGAACGATGCCTGCAGATTAAACCATGTGCTGCTGGTTGTAGACGACACTGAGTCAGTCCACACCAAGTCCTTCTTTTTGTACTGCAACTGGCACAGAGTTGTACAAACAACATCAAGAGGCATGAATTATGGTTCTGCACCAACAGGGTGGTTCTCATAAAGCTTGTGTTGGTGCACTGAGCAGAGAAACCTTAAGACTGTGGGGCTAAAATAACAAGTATGACCAAGAAATAATCATGTTTTACATGATCAAACTACTCAGGGCCAGAATCTACACTCACTGGACACTTTATTAGGTACTAACAATTATTTTAATAATACATTAATCTGATGATTATTTTCTTGATTAATCGACCAAATCATTAAAACGCTTAATTATATCAATATGAGTAGATATAAAATATTTTCATTCCTGTATAAATTAGGGATGCAAGTTATCAAGTAATGAATTAATCTGAAGTTGATTTATCTTATAGACTGACTAACAATTAATTGATAAGCAGCCATTTTCTTAAAAACTGGAGTTTTCTCTTGAATCAAGAGGTTATTTTCATAACAAAGGATTTTTCATAATCTGCTGAATTAAAAAACAGAAGCACATCATAAATATTTTAATAATTTATTTTGCCAGTTGTATTAAATACTGAATGAAAAGAAATGTGTATTTC